AATTATGGGGATGCTATGGCTTTAAAGTTCCCTGCAGTTTTACCTGAATCTCTGATACCCCCATTAACTTTCTACATATTACCCCTATGTGTTATGACATAGCATTGGACCTCTTCCTTCATTTCAAATGTTGATAAGCACCACGCTTCCTTCATTTCAAATCACCACATATAATATAGACTAAGGCTTGATCTCTGAATATATATAATTTTGACAGAAACAAACAATTCCTTTTTAATTGAAAAGGACACCTGGTGAGAAAGGAGATTCCGAACCTGAGGAAATTTAGACTTTCTATATTTAGGGCTTCAGTAAAGCAAGAATGGACTGACTGACTGACTGAGTTTAGTTTTACGCCGCTTTTAGCAATATTCCAGCAATATCACGGCTGGGGACACCAGAAATGGGCTTAACACATTGTGCCCATATGGGGAATCGAACCCGGGTCTTCGGCGGCATGACGAGCCAACGCTTTAACCACTAGGCTACCCCACCGCCCCGGCAAGAATGGACAATAATGTGGTTCAGGGACTGTGAGACAGACCACATATGATAGTACTGAAAGTATTACATTGAGCAAAGTAACCCTTACACAAATCAAGTGTTCAGTGTTAACTGACCACTGTTATAATGTTGATGCTATAATATGCATGATATTTGACTCTATCAAAAATGCTTGGTTCTACTTTGAATGTCTTGAAATATTCATCTCACCTTTGTCAACCCATTCTCTTCCCACAGAGGTTACTCCTGTCATATCTTCCTACGTAACCTCTGTTCTAATCGGCCCTTTCATGGTGTGAGTGTTCAAGACTCGTGATTGGAGGCAATCAGATTTAGTTGTGCAATCTGCGACGTTGTTTCAAAAGTGATCATTCGCAAGGCCTAGGTAATTTCCGTATGCTTCAAAAAAACTAAACTTCTGCCCCTGCACGATGTGCAAACGTTTCTTCTAGACAGAACTCAGTCATGTTATGGCGGATCAGTGGCATCTCCATCGCCCTCATTGACAACGGACAAGCTAGCCATTAAACGTCTTGTGTGTAACATCAACACAAGTCCCCGGCAGATGGGGGATATTTGTGGCCCCACATTTGCTTGTGTTAGTCAAGTTGAATCTAAGTCGATGTAACACGTGTTCTTATTGGATAGAAAGAAGGGAGATAATTCATGTTGCGATCTTTTGCCGATAGGGGATTTTACGAGAACCGGGAAATATGGCCGTATTAGAACAGAGGTTCGTAGGAAGATATGACAAGTAACCTCTGTGGGAAGAGAATGTTGTCAACCTTGTGTACTTCAGGATTTTACCGTCTTGACGATGGTATATGATAATAGAAATACAGTCAAAGTCAAAACATGAAGCAAACATTATTTACAATATACAAGCAAGAACTGTGATGAAACATAAATAGAACCTCCAAAATATACAGATTACATAATAGAAGAGTGGATTAGTGGATTAAAGGCTGATGGTTTGTCCAGACTCACTGGGTGAGACTCAGCAAAAACACTTAATATATCAGTTATATATATACATCTTGAATGTACACTGGAACCAAAAGCAACACAAAAAAATAATTCATATTCTAAATTAAATATATCAAATAAAGTTCATTTTGGTACACAGGTTTTTTTATGGATTAGAAAAATACAAGACACCTTACAAAATACATAAATTAATGGTAACTGTTAAGCGTTCAGATAAATAATTGATGGAAGTTTTGATTTATAGATGTACATTGTATATAGTTACTTCACTTCTATCTTTGTATAGAAAACAAACCCTTCACAGACAAAACACATTATTGTAAATATATGCATATTACATACACAACTAAACAGCCCTAACTTTAAGCAGAAATAGCATTTACTTGTTCCCAAAGATATGTCCAACTCCACAACTTCATGCTACTGAAAACGTAAGAAACAATTGACATAACCCAATACTGTTATTTCAACCTGAGAACATTCATCTTTCCCTCAAATCGAGATCCCCACCCACCTCTCATCACCATCATAACCCTTCATGACAAATGATGAGGACCGCCTCCATCGTGTAGTGGTTAGAGCGTCCGCCCGGAGAGTGGAAGGTCGCGGGTTCGATCCCCGACCGCGTCATACCAAAAGACGGTAAAATATGGTACTTGTTGGTCCCTGCCTGGCGCTCGGCATTAATGGGTACAACAAGGACTGGTCGGCTCGGAGTCAGTATAATGTGTCTGAGTGGGGTATTCATTCTTCACTGCGGCATGGTATCTTAGTGGGCTAGCACTATAAAACCAGCTTAAGTCTGGGCTAGTACAAGCAGCCACATATACATACACATACACGCATGCACGTTGTCATATGAGCGAACTATTCTCAAGTACAACGTTAAACCCAATTTCACCTCACCTCACAAAAGATGCTTAATGAGATGAAAATAGAGCTAGGGCCCTGTAGCTCACATACACATATATATCTGAACAGTTTGAAATGCTGCTGGACACTGGATAAGCAAGCCATGACATTAGCTCATAAACTACTACCATTTATAATTTGGGCAGATAACCCAGTTCACAAATCAGTTGAACTTAAGCAACATTGTGCATGGAGAGTCCTTGGATGGATGACTGTGTTTGACAGCTGGACTCCAGAGACTTTCAAGTACTTCTGTCCTGTTCCCACAACAAAACACATATGGTCTCACAATCGGCAAGTGACTTTGTTCAAAGTTGCCTCTGTTCACCTTGAGTTATCTGGTGTAATAATGGCCATTATGCTGTATGCACTTAGAGCATGTGGTGTGGAGTTCAGCGCTGTACAAGTGACCTTATTATTAGTTATCCAGAAATATGCATTCTATTCCAGCTCATATGTAGTGAGAAAATGGGTAAATATTCCAAACACTAATATACTGAAGTTGACAATCAAAATGTGTGAAATGGGTCGATGCTCGAGACAATCATACATAGTAGCAGGAATTGGAAGAGCAACACCAACAATCCTCCTATAGTTGAAATTCCTGTATTGTTATAATTAAAGGATTGGTTAATGAACTACCACTTAATTCATGACACCTACAAAGAAAAAATACAGAAAAAAATCTGTCTTATCTTCTTTGATGACAGTTCTGTACACTGCCTAATGCTGTCCCCAATACACAAGCTACATGAGAGCAGTCTGACAAACTAATGATTTCACTATGAGCAAGAACCACACTGCATAGTGACACTGACACTACAAACAGCTGCAGCATTGTATACAAGTTGTTAAAAAAGTATTTTACTTTTTACTTACACATATGTACAAAACACATTTAAAGAAGAAAATTACAGCCGACACTAAATCAACTTAATGTTTGTACATATTCTTGTATATAAAACACTGCATTATGATTTATGTCATAATTATGCAAAAATACATTCTTCCAAGTTAATATCCACATGAGTACAGATAAAAAAAATAACTAACAAGTGACAGTACACATATGGTTAAGTACAAGCTTGTGCAGGTATGTTCAGGTATGATCAGATACCTGTACCAGTTATGATTGGGTATTGGTATGTGGAATGACTGGGTAAGGGGTATGATTTGGTACCAAGTATGTTTTGATGAGTGGACGGAAGACTGATACCCTTTCATACGAAGGGCAAGCGAGACAAATGCAACATCTCTTTGGATTAAAATGCTGCATTTTGTCCATGATAAATTTAGTCCTTTCTTAAAAAAAAAGACAAAGAGATATGCTGAATAATATGATTACCCAACCCATAATTTTACAAAACATACTGAGTTTATCAATTCTTCCAATTTTTTAGCACAAAAATTATTTCTATACACATGATTGATAAATATATCTATATTCTGAAAAATGCTGATTTCATTACTGACCATATGATAATAATAATAGTAATAATAGTTCATTTATAAAGCGCATATTTCCATGCACAATGCATGCTCAAAGTGCTGATGTCAGGACGAAAAGGCTTTTTGGAAAAGGTGGGTCTTTAGCGATGTTCGAAAGGTTAAAAGTTCTGTAATTTCTCTCAAATGTTGTGGGAGATGATTCCATTCTGAGGCTGCAGCATAAGAGAAAGTTCTTTGACCAAATTTAACTGTTCTGACTTTAGGAATACACAGAAGATTATGTTTCTCGGAGCGGAGGGATCTTGTTGGTTTGTATGGAGAAAGGAGGTCGGACAGATATTGAGGTGCACTTCCAGAGAGACATCTGAAAGGAGAATGCAGAGTTTAAAAGTGATGCTGTGGAATGGGCAACCAGTGGAGGTCCTTCAACACAGGGGTGATGTGAGCTGACTTGGGTGAGAGTGACTATTCTTGCTGCTGTGTTCTGAACCCGTTGCAGTCTACCAATCTGGGATTTTGTTGCACCAGCAAAGAGGCTGTTGCAGTAATCTAGTCTTGTCATCACCAATGAGAGGACAAGGATTTTAGCTGACTCCTTTGTGAGAAGCATTCGAATGTGTCCAATGTTTCGGAGGAGTAGGAAGCATGTCCTGCACAAGATGGTAATGTGCTGGTCCAATGACAGCTCAGGATCGACAGTCACGCCAAGGTCCTTAACACTGTTAGATAGTGGAACAGTGGTTTCGCCAAAGTGAAACGACTTGATGTTGGTCTGTTCTCGGCGAGGTGTTGTCCCTACCAGAAGACACTCTGTCTTGTCCTCATTTAGCTTCAGCTTGTTGGTGAACATCCGTTATTTAGTAAATTTACTGTACTAACATGGCAAGGCAGATTCAGGATTTCAACCAAATCTCAAGATCTTCTATATTCTTTATCAACATCGTTACATGTCAAGAGCTATCAAATTATTATTTAAGATATATCTATTACTTACCAAAATGTCAAGATCTATCAATGATTTTTAAAATATGAACACCTATTACTTCTTTTTTAAAATGTCAAAATCAATCAATTTTTTTAACAAAACACCAATCACTTTCAATTCCTGATCAAAATGTCAGGATCTATCAGTTGCAAAATGGTAAATCAAATCAGGCAAAGACTTGAAACCTAGTTACTTCAGGAGGCTCTTATCCAAGTTGAAATTACATGTGATGATTGGTTATCCAGATAAACATAATGATCTTTTGAATATCATCTTCATAATAATTAAGTATCTGATATTCAAAAGCAAGCTCAATAATACAATGCATCCAATCCAGGCATTGCAAAATAAAATATTCTTAAAAGGTCAATTATAATCTTAGTGTTCAGTGTTAACTAAGTGTAATATTTGCTTATTCTGTATAGTTTAGTCAACTTGCCATTATCTATTTATGTGAATCTCCTTTGTTTTATGTCCCCACTGGAATGTCATATGTTGAATTTTATGAAAATGCTTCAAAAGGCTTAAAAATAAAAGTTACAAAATAGATCTATCAGTTCTAAACATCTAAACTATAGAAACTGTTAACTAATACCTCGTCCATTTCCACACAGCAACCAGTGATGATAAAAGATGGAACCACAAAGTGTGGAAGTCGCAGTGGCTGAGCAGGTTAGGCGTCTGACTTTGCGTGACTCTGAGGGTGTGGGTTCGAATCCCGGATGGGACTCAACACCCAAAAAAGTACTAGAATTTGTACTTTACTAAGAAAGTGTAATCCCAAATATAACATATGTAATAATATGCATATATATATACACATCTTATATACAGCTGTATGTTATGGTATATATAATGCACAGCATAAGTGCAAGGTTTTTGTCATGTAACAATTGTTAGAACATTGACAAAGATAACAAGCGAAAATGTGAACTAACAATCCAAATCCATGTGGCAAGGGCAAACAACTCTCTTCTCTCAGTGATTCACACCAAGCTAACTTGCCTTAAACAAGATAAATAGCAAATAAACATTTCATGAACCGGGGTTAGTTTAACTAAATCTGACTGCATGTAAAAAGGTGAAGTGAACACACACACTCTAACAGTTGGACAGAATTGTTATTTTTATAACGGTCAGATGCTGTCTTGGATCACCCAGTATAAAATATCTGAACTAATACTGAAATAAGACTCTCTTAATATATGCTGTGAAGCCTAGACTTCACGGGTCAGTGCATCCACAGTCACTGAAGCCGGAACCGGAACCGTTGTCTGTTTCCACACTGATGACCTGTGGAAGGGCTGCCCTCTCAAGTGGAGGGTGTGATTCCCTTGAGGGCAAGCTCCTCCTTCACTCTCTTGAGGTAGTCAGGGTCAGGGTAGCCATAACTGGAACAGACATAGATACATCAAACAGAGATAGATCCAGGTAGCCATCCTGATCTTTGTTCAGCAGTAGTGAAACTACGATCTGATTTCAGTGAAACCACTGAAGACTTTATTCCTGCCAGAAAGGTTCCATAGTCTGTGTATACCATTACCATACTTATAGGCTTTGCGGATACCGTAAACGCTTGCTATCTCAGGGCTGCCAACCTAAAATGTTTCCAATGAGTGAGATTTTCCCAAAGCCAGGGTCCAGGACGATGTCCTGCCAGGGGGTCTAGGAGGGTTGGAGCCCCCCTGCCGAAAAAGTATTCAGCACTTTTTAAACATCTTTGGAGAATGGAGTATGGAGGTAAATGATCATTTCTGGAAATGTGTGAGCTTTCACTGTGTGGTCGTGCGAGTGTGATTTTGTATGAAAATGCCTGATTCTCACGCTAAATGTGTGATAGTTGGCAGGTATGTAATCTCTATCAGTTTAAATTTGATGTCAGGCTGACATGCTGTTTAGTAATTGACTTCAATTGATAAATACGCAGCGCAAAATGAAGGATGTTTGGGTGCAGACCTGCACCTTCATTGAGTTTATGTTTTAACTGTTTACTGGATTTCAAGTTTCTTGTCAGTTATTAGAAGAGACTGAAACTACTTCAACTAGTTTTTTGTTTATATAACATATACATTGATTTGGGAAATGACTTCAGATGAGACAATTCAAGGAGAAAAACTATTGCAATAGTATTGCAATAGTTGGTCACAATAGACTATCCCTATCGCAGTAGTTGTTTCCCTCAATAGTCATCCCTATTAAGTTTACAGGGCTCCAGATAATTTTCATGATCAGGAGATGCACGTGCTCATATTTTTCAATATAGGAGTACTGGAAAACAATAAGAGTACATTTAGAGTACTGAATGGAATTTAATGGCATTATCAGTAATCTTGTGTTTCGCTTCATATATGCACCACAACATTGCTACTCTTGTGTAAACAGGTCAGTAAACAATAAAACAATACTTTTCAGTTAAATCGTCTGCAAAATGATTCTGAAACCGCACACCATTGCTGTGGTCCATTATCTGCTACGTTTTAAAATTGTTTCCTACCGTATTGTGCATTTTTTATATCCGTACATACGCCGATACGGCTCTTATCTGGAGCCCTGAGTTTAGTTTAGTTATTGATTATTACTTACTTTGACGTCCCTCCCGTCATGCTCGTCTTGTGATGAATGTCGTTCCAGGTGATGACGCCAGTGCGGCCAGTAGTTCGAGACTCGCCGATGGTAAACGTGACTCCAGCATCAAATGCCTTGTCCAACAGTTTCAGAACCTCCCATCCTTCATTATTGTAAGGTAGGTAGGCTGTTCTCTGGATCCCAGAGTACCTCTTGCCAGGTTCTGGGTGATCAGCCTGAGGTGACACAAGAAAATTTAGCACCTTTGAATTTTACATGAACATTTGGAGCCCTTCGTTAAATGTCATAATATAAGAATGAACAAGAACATGAACACTCAACAAAATTTTAAAGACACAAACAGAATGAATAATCTTTAAGGATATATCACAGGTCAACAGGTCAAGTTATTGTTAGTTGTAAGTACAGTATAGATGTATTTATGTTGTAGGTCTGTCTTGTTTTAATGATGGACCAGACAATCAGGTGATTGACATCAGGAGCATTGATCTATTCCAGGGATTTACGGGACGCTAATTCCTGTGTCCTATACAAATAAAAATTAACAGCGGACACAACAAAATTCATAAGGGAGTCCACAGCGACTCAGAAAAAGTCCCAATACTTTTTGTAAAAATTTTGATCAAGTAATAATAAGTTATCACTGAATCTGCTACTAGCCGGGTTATGGTATCATTTGCAATTTAATTACTCTGACAATGTGATGATCATGATACACAATACAATAACAGTAACTGCATTACTGCAGTGTTACAACATAGTAAATAATAATATTTAATTGTTTAGGACCCCCATTTTGTAGTCCAGGACCACTGAAAATTAAGTGTATGAGTCCCAGGGACCCTCAAATACAGAACTCAAGGTAAATCCCTGCTATTCAATCCAATCCCTGACATAAAACGACAGACTACAGCTTTAAGACAGACAATCTCTTCCTGAAATCTGTCTTTAATATCAGTGTATGAAATATGGCCCCTCTGACCATCCGAGATGGGCCAGATTCCGACAGATGGTCTAAATTTACAGCCAGCCAGCCCAATGATCTGGTAAAGATTTTAGATAGTTTTGTTCCATACAAAGGTGTAAATTCACCATATCTTAAAATCTATTTTGAAATTGAGGCCATAGTTAGACATTAAATTATTCATTGTAATCCAAAATAGAGTTATTTTCTTTGGAGTATCTGGACTGGTTAAATCCATTTTGGGCGGATAACATTTTGAAGCTACTAGGGCCGGGTATTGCGGAGAATTTTCATATTGCAATATATTGCGATGCGAAGCAGATATTGCGATATGTATTGCAATATATGTCAAGAAGTTCTCTTTAATAAAACTACTTATAATCGAGTTAATGCTTGATTTATAAAGCAAAAACACAACAAAATCACCATGCTTGATTAAGCTTAATAAATACTTTTAATCATGACAAAATAAAATGTAAATAATATTTGGCACAAATAACAAAAGGAAAGGAACAATTTATAAAACGGAAATATCCGAAGATTTCCGAGTGTTACGAAGTTTTCCGATTGCATGTCAAAATACCGGTTTTCGATACATTCTAGATGAATACATCCCAGATATATACACCCTACATCCCAACCACAACACAAGAGCTCTCTCTAAACCATTGATTTCAGGCACTACATGGAAAGTTAACTTTGTTTAGGTGAATGTTCAAGTGCCCGCTGTATCCCTGATAAGTTAAACCTGACAGCAGTCATACTCACACTCAACCACTCCTCCCTAACGCAATACAAAATGGTGTGTAATTTTTTCGAGTAAAAATATAATGAAATATCCTGACTCATATTAATTGTATCTCCCTCTGCCCAGAATATATCGGAAAACCTTGTTTTGTTACATGAGAACCTACCTCTTGTATCCCTCCTGGAAAGTCGTAACTGATGACAATCACTCCTCTAGCATCTTCATAACCTGGTAGCACCTCTCCTCTGTGTATTACATGAGTCATCTTCCCACCTTTGGGCTGGTTCCCCTTCACAGTACCATACAGCCTCCCACATTCAGGACAGGCTGGCTTCACATCAAAAGCCTGTCTGATACAGTCTGCACAGAAGGTGTGGCCACATGGCAGCTTCTTGGGGACGGTGACTTTGTCCATACAGATGCTGCAGGTGTCATCAGGGTCTGTTGACTTGGCCGCTCCAAGAGTACTTGTTCTGCCCATATTTGCTGGTAGGCTCTTGAACCTATCATCATCATCATAATGTCTTTGTCTCAGGATTTCCCTATCAACAACAGTTTTCCCTTTGATTTCCACATTTGTTCCAACCCCTGTAGCCCCAGCTTTCATGGGTTTATTTCTTGGACTGTTGCTTCCACCAGAAGTTGTCCCTGGTCGTGATTTAAGCTTCTCTTTTACATCTGTTGCTCCCATGCCAGGCTTAAAACCAGGCATGGTTTTTGAACCGTAATCAGATTTTGAAGCTCCAGCACCAGTCTTCTTCCCTGAGGTCGTACCTCCTGCATATGATGTGGTCTTCGATGTTGCTCCTGTGTTGTATGGTTTCCTTGGAGTAGTATCAAATGACCCTGACCTTTGTCTCTGAGGAACCCTTGACCTTGCACCTGTGTCATCACCTCTCAGACTCGTCGTTCCTCCATAGCTGGATGCGCTCATACGGTCTTCCTCCTCTTTTGCGCTCCTCTTACGTGGATCTCTAGTCAGTGAAGATGATCGTTTTATGCTGCCAAGTGCTAGATCTCTACTGTCTGACCTTGAAGCCCTATAAATAAAAGGCGTCATTAATGGATTTCTCAGGCACATACAATATGAACTTACTTAGTAATAAATTATAATTTAAGCATGGATCTATTGCTTGTGTGCTTTGTATACCATGCGAAGTGATACAATGCCATTTTCTTAGCACCAGAAACAAAAAATTCTCGAAACTGTGACATGTAGATAAGCCGACCCCCTTCGACAGACTGTTTTTTTTGGTCCTCAAAATTCAGCTTACTGTAAACGTACTTATTTTCACGTGGTGCAATTTTCGCGGAATTGACAGTTTAGACTACATCGCGCGGTCAATTATTCGCGCAATCAGTAATTGCTTGAACTGCCAGCTGTCTCTTTGGCCGCCACTTATAGCAGTGAAAACAAACAGAGTGGCTTAACCTGTCAGGCGGCGTTTATTGCTTACTCACAGGAAATCCCTATCTGTGCGGCCACAACACACATTGCTGTTTTCGCTAATTCGGCGATGGGATTTGGCTCATTATTTAATTATGTTTTGGGAAATCCATTACAGCGACAGTTAAGTATGATTCTTCATGCTACTATCAATCGTCATTTTAAGATTCCCATAGATTTCTGTCTTCAAACTTGATGTGTTATGGTAACAACTCAGGGGCGAGTGTGGCTAGACTGAATGAATGACAGGTTTATTCGTGGTGTATAAATTTTCGCGCTAAAATGTTTTGCGCCGCGAAAATAAAACCTGCGCGAAATATAATACGTTTACAGTATCTACGGTCCTATATGGTAAATGATAGTCTGATCTAGTTGGTTCACTAGCAACAATCTTTATAGTCCTTTAGACCTGGATCACATTTGCCACGGACGCCATATGATAAAGTAGTCTACGATTTTCCATACAACTTTTTAGGCATAGTGGTTGACCGTGGGCTACGACATTTGAGTTCACATTGTCTACGGTCATCGAGTGATTTCTTTGGGGACAGGCAAAGGCAAATCTGCATGGTGTCTGCACAGATTTTGTATGGAGATCTTACGAAGGAAGCATGGTGATCGTGTGGTGGCCGTACGGATATCCTTTAGTCCCCAAAATCGTGCAGTAATCACTTTGCAGCCTCAGTGCTGTGCCAGTGCAATGCCTCCTACAGACTATGGGCTCAAGCTTTTAGCAAATTTGTCATACTTCGCTTTTTGACAAAATCGTAGAGTCTTAGGCATCCTAGAACTGTGCAATAGTCGTACAGTCGCCGCCTGCTGAGCCAAGACGACCACACAGAAATGGAGCTATGGGTAGTTTATGGGCGCCGTAGACCCATCGCAGGCCAAATGTGAACCAGGCAATAATCGTTCTGTGAGCATAGAAGCCTTACCGCTCATGCAGACTGGACTGCTTGCCCTTGTTCTGCAACCTGTACGTGGCTGCAGCCTGCAGGTCGCTGACGTCGGTCTCCAGGTGCTGCTGAAGCATGACAATGGCTGTCTGCACCATCTCCATGTCAGTGTTCAGCAAGTGGATCTCCTTCAGGGTTGAGTATGTCTTGGGTGCCGAGGAGAACAACACGACAGCATCCAGGAAAGACTCAATGCAGATGTCAATGGGCACACCAAACACACCTGGACAACAGTGAAAGGACATGGATAAGGATAAACAAAACACATGCGGTATATTTGTCAGGGGAAACTGAATGGTTCTGTTGGGCTTAACATGCTGACAATATGTGAGGTGAGGTGAAATTGGGTTTTACGTCATACTTGAGAATATTTCGCTCATATGACGGCGTGCATGCGTGGGTATGTGTATGTGCGGCTGCTTGCACTAGCCCAGACTTAAGCTGGTTTTATAGTGCTAGCCCACTGAGATACCATGCCGCAGTGAAGCATGAATACCCCACTCAGACACATTATACTAACTCCGAGCCGACCAGTCCTTGTTGTACCCATTAATGCCGGGCGCCAGGCAGGGACCAACAAGTACCATATTTTAACGTCTTTTTGTATGATGCGGTCGGGGATTGTACCCACGACCTTCCGCTCTCCAGGTGGACGCTCTAACCACTACACCACGGAGGCGGTCGCTGACAATATGTGGGTTCATTGATAAGTGATAATTTAAGTCAGCTCTTTCACAAGAGAATGCAACACATTACAGTCTGCTCTGTGACAGGAGAAGTGCAATCACATCAGCTGATTGACAGGAGACTGACTGACTGAGTTTGGTTTTACGCCGCTTATAGCAATATTCCAGCAACATCACGGCGGGGGACACCAGAAATGGGCTTCACACATTGTGCCCATGTGGGGATTCGAACCCGGGTCTTCGGCGTGACGAGCCAACGCTTTAACCATTAGGCTACCCCACCGCCCCGATTGACAGGAGAGAGCAGTATAATACAGTATATGACAAAATAATGCAGTGAAATATGGCCAAATAAAAATGTTGTGGTTTCGATTACACCTCTTTAAATTTAGGGTAGGTAGTTAGTATTTTCTTTTTTTACATTTTGTTTAGAAGTAAAGTACAAACTAATAACACATTTATCAATGTGTAATTGTTTATTAAATCAAGCTCACAGTCATCATGTCTCTATCAGAATGACCGATGTCCGTCGGGGGCGGGGAAAAAAACTGGTATCTGAAAGCTTAATTTATTCATACCACTTATAAAACAATAGGGTGGGCACCATAATTCAAGGATCGGTTAGTAATCGGAACCACAACATTTTTTTTAAGGCCTTACCATCAGCTCTCAGACGGGAGATAAACGTGAGCTAACATCAGCTCTCAGACAGGAGAGAAAAGTGAACTAACATCAGCTCTCAGACGGGAGAGAAAAGTGAACTAACATCAGCTCTCAGACAGGAGAGAAAAGTGAACTAACATCAGCTCTCAGACGGGAGATAAACGTGAGCTAACATCAGCTCTCAGACAGGAGAGAAAAGTGAACTAACATCAGCTCTCAGACGGGAGATAAACGTGAACTAACATCAGCTATCAGACAGGAGAGAAAAGTGAACTAACATCAGCTCTCAGACGGGAGAGAAAAGTGAATTAACATCAGCTCTCAGACAGGAGAGAAAAATGAACTAACATCAGCTCTCAGACGGGAGATAAACGTGAGCTAACATCAGCTCTCAGACAGGAGAGAAAAGTGAACTAACATCAGCTCTCAGACAGGAGAGAAAAGTGAACTAACATCAGCTCTCAGACGGGAGATAAACGTGAGCTAACATCAGCTCTCAGACAGGAGAGAAAAGTGAACTAACATCAGCTCTCAGACGGGAGATAAACGTGAGCTAACATCAGCTCTCAGACAGGAGAGAAAAGTGAACTAACATCAGCTATCAGACGGGAGATAAACGTGAACTAACATCAGCTATCAGACAGGAGAGAAAAGTGAACTAACATCAGCTCTCAGACGGGAGAGAAAAGTGAATTAACATCAGCTCTCAGACAGGAGAGAAAAGTGAACTAACATCAGCTCTCAGACGGGAGATAAACGTGAGCTAACATCAGCTCTCAGACAGGAGAGAAAAGTGAACTAACATCAGCTCTCAGACGGAGATAAAACGGAGCTAACATCAGCTCTCAGACCGGAGAGAAAAGTGAACTAACATCAGCTCTCAGACGGGAGATAAACGTGAACTAACATCAGCTATCAGACAGGAGAGAAAAGTGAACTAACATCAGCTCTCAGACGGGAGATAAACGTGAATTAACATCAGCTCTCAGACAGGAGAGAAAAGTGAACTAACATCAGCTCTCAGACGGGAGATAAACGTGAGCTAACATCAGCTCTCAGACAGGAGAGAAAAGTGAACTAACATCAGCTCTCAGACAGGAGAGAAAAGTGAACTAACATCAGCTCTCAGACGGGAGATAAACGTGAGCTAACATCAGCTCTCAGACAGGAGAGAAAAGTGAACTAACATCAGCTCTCAGACGGGAGAGAAAAGTGAACTAACATCAGCACTCAGGCGGGAGAGAAAAGTGAACTAACATCAGCTATCAGACAGGAGAGAAAAGTGAACTAACATCAGCTCTCAGACAGGAGAGAAAAGTGAACTAACATCAGCTCTCAGACAGGAGAGAAAAGTGAACTAACATCAGCTCTCAGACAGGAGAGAAAAGTGAACTAACATCAGCACTCAGACAGGAGAGATAAGTGAACTAACATCAGCTATCAGACAGGAGAGAAAAGTGAACTATCATCAGCTATCAGACAGGAGAGAAAAGTGAACTAACATCAGCTCTCAGACAGGAGAAAAAAGTGAACTAACATCAGCTCTCAGACAGGAGAGAAAAGTGAACTAACATCAGCTCTCAGGTGGGAGAAAAAAGTGAACTAACATCAGCTATCAGACAGGAGAGAAAAGTGAACTAACATCAGCTATCAGACAGGAGAGAAAAGTGAAAGTGAACTAACATCAGCTATCAGACAGGAGAGAAAAGTGAACTAACATCAGCTATCAGACAGGAGAGAAAAATGAACTAACATCAGCTATCAGACGGGAGAGAAAAGTGAACTAACATCAGCTGTCAGACAGGAGAGAAAAGTGAACTAACATCAGCTATCAGACGGGAGAGAAAATAGAACTAACTTCAGCTCTCAGGCGGGAGAGAAAAGTGAACCTCACATCAGCACTTTGACGGGGAGAGCAAGATAATACAGTCAGCTCTATGACAAGAGAAAGCAGGACAGTAAAATCTGCAGCTTGACAGGAGAAAGAAGAATACAATATTGAGAGAAGAATGCAGGGCAACACAGTTAGCTCTTTGACAGGAGAAAGGAAAGAAAAATCTGATTCTTGACAGAAAGAGGCAGAACAATATAACATTTATGTCCAAGATATTTTTATGGATTAAACTTCTTTTTAATTTCTTTCACGACGTTTCGAGACCATTCCAGGTCCCTTCATCAGGTGAACTGGCAGTTAGGACTATGACATCGTCGCTATGACGTCATAACTGAGTTATGACGTCACAATGCAAGTGACATCACAGTACACTAGGGACAGTACTGTATAAGTGAGTTTGAAGAGTTTGAAGAGTTATTTACATAATGATGAAAATTCATGCTAAATAATAGAGTTGAAAGTTGAATTGTCAATACACAACAACTGCTAATTACACAAAGGTAACTTGATAGCAGGCTTTCCAAAAAGAATAGTAGACTCGTTTTTTCTTCTAAAGTTCATTAAAAGTTAATCAAGAGGTCCCATGCACTTAGCAGGTATACACCTTGATCACGATTCATTGCTGGTTTATGTCTCCTTATCTCGACAGCCTCCTGTAGTTTTCTCCGACGCCAGTCGTTGTTATTTCTCGAAAGCACCCTGATGTCATTCCACATGATTACATGACTTGGGTTATTTGCCTTGTGCTCCGATATAGCTGACTTATCATTTTGTTTGCATACTGACGACTTGTGTTCAGCAACCCGGGTGTTAATGGGCCTGAGAGTCTCGCCAATATATTGATCGCCACAGCTGCATGGTATTTGGTAGTGTGATGTCACTTGCATTGTGACGTCATAACTCAGTTATGATGTCATAGCGACGACGTCATAGTCCTAACTGCCAGTTCACCTGATGAAGGGACCTGGAATGGTCTCGAAACGTCGAGAGAGAAATTAAAAAGAATTTTAATCCATAAAAATATCTTGGACATCAATGTACAACTTCTAAATGCCACTGAAAGACAATATAACATTTGACAGCAGAAAGCGAGGGGAGATGCATGGCAATGAATCAGATCTCTGACAAGGGTACAGTAAAATGTTTGACAGGCAAAAGCATCATAAAATAACCTGCTCTTTGTCAGAACATAGAACATTACACAGACAAATAGGACGTTGCCATATTCAACAGGATAACACAGGACATTTCTTTGACATAAGAAAGCATCACAATGATGACCCACACACAACCTCTTCATCTTACCTGTACTAATGAAGGGAAATGCAATGGAGTTGATAAACAGCTTCTCTTGAGAATACTTCAGACAACGAAGAAATGTGCGAGTCAACTGATATGCACATTTCTCATCCATTGTTGGAACATGGACTGGCCCCACAGTATGCAGAATGTAGCGTGGGCCAATTAAATCTCCTGGGTTTGTATGCATGACGTCACTGACTTGGAGGGGCCCATGGAGGCGGACATGTCTCTCACACTCACGTCTCAGTTCATTCCCACAAGCTCTCTCTATGGCCCCAGCTACACCAGCAAAGTTCCTCAGTTCTCCATTAGCTGCACTGACGATTCCTTCCAGCTTACATTTCACAATGTTACCATAGCAGACTTTCACCTTAAAGCCACCTGGAAGTTCAAATCTGTAAGACAAGAGTCCTTGAGGGTCTTTTTGTGCAAATCTTGTAGAATCGTGTCTCAGAGAATAAACATCTGCGCTCAGACCATTAGAAGCTCCAGACAGAGGTGATGTTTGGTGTCCTCTCCTGTCATCTCTCAACAACTCATCAGTGCTACCTGAACCTGTCCTCTCCTTGCTCACGGTCTTCTTTCCTGTATCATCAAGCCACTTCTGGATCTGGTCCAGTTCTTCCTTTGGAACTCTGTCTAGTTCTCTTAGCATAGATGCCTCGCTATAAAATGTACTGCTTATTGATGGCTGTTCCCGATCTCTCTCCCGCTTGTGTTGCAGTTCTTCAAGTCTGATAGACATTTGGTGTCTAACATCACCTCCTGGCCTGGACGCCTTGGTTTTGTCAGCAGCTGCTTGTAGAAGCCTTTGTTCCACAGCTGTGGATGACTCTGTTGGGTATCTCCCAGTTGTTGGAGACTGAAGACTGGCGAAGTGGTTGAAAGTTTCAGAAGCATCTTGATGTCTGGAGTTTGTGCTGCTACGTAAATCACTCACATCGTGCCCTGAATCCAATCCATTCGATATTGGTGCAGTGTCATCTTGTCTGGGAGATTTTCTACTTGTCCCAGAGGCACTGGAACCAATTCTTTCAGCTGTGCTTCTCTTCACTTGTGGAGGGCTCTGCTGTGAACCGGGGGAAGTTCTTCTACTTCTAAACTGATGCAGAGCCTCATAATCAGCTGCTGATTGGTCATGACCATTTTGGAGGTCTTGATGTATTTTGTGCTGGCTTTCAAGAAACTCATGAAGAACCTTCTCAGCAAGTTCTATATCAAACTGGTTCCCCTTCAGCGTTACGTTCCCGTCTACTGCAGTGAATATCTGTAGTTTGCCATCAGTGGTCAGTTCAATATGCTTCTTACATTCTGACGTCTGAAACAGGGCAGCAACTTGGTCTTCAAGCTCCACTGTTACTGAGGAGAATATCTGAAAGCAGATTAGACATCCGATTAAAGATGTAATGAATCACATATTCTTTAAAAGTACTGTGAAACATATACTATAACTTCCTTCAAAGTACGTGCATAACCAGTAAATCACTACATATATATTGTTACACTTGCGTTTTGCCTGACAATGTACATCTACGATGATAGTTCAGTGTAACATGAAAAGGGCTTATATCTGAATTATTATTAGGGGTGACTATTGAGGGGGAAACAACTATTACGATAGCGATAGTCTATTGCAACATACTATTGCACTAGCGATTGTCTATTGCAACCAATTTTCTCCTTGAATGAATGAATGTATAGTTTATATTAAATAAAAATAAGTTGAAGTAGGTTCAATCTCTTTTAATAACTGACAAGAAACTAAAAACCCAGATCAAGTAAACAGTTAAAGCATAAACTCACTGAAGCTGCAAGTCTGCACCCAAACAATAAAAAAATACAAAACAACATAAATATTTAATAAAAAGTTTCCACTGCGGAATTATCAGCAGAAGTCAATTACTAAACTATCGATAGTCACACATAATATCGATGCATCGATAGTTTTTCCTTTCTAACATTGATTAATTGCTATCGGAGACTCAACAATTGCATTCCATCGAGAGTTCGATGCATCATTACAGCCCTAGTCATTACCCGCATCATTGAGGAGACGGTATGGACAATTTGAACTGTAAAGTTGAATATCTGGTATTTCTCTAAATTCACATTCTGTTGAATGCAATGGTTGAAAACATGTTTATAACTATTTGAAGTTGTTATAGTTATGTCACCTCTGTGCCAACAACAGTGAGTGAGTGGTCCCATTTATACCCATATATTCTCTTCTATCTCCTGAGACATACTTACTCTGTGTGGGAGAGGACTGATAGTAAACTTTGAGAGTCCTTCCAGCCTTTCAAAGAGTGCCATTGACGTACCTGTGTAAGTGAAAACAAACTCTCAGGTTTTCATGATTCAATTCTTTAAAAACACAATGCACTGACATCCCGATCTCACTGCATGCAACAAATATACAGTAATACGTATCTTGTAACAGAGTAATTAAATTAGCCTTGTTTACAGTTGGAACAGCCTCTGTCAGTTCTTTAACATACCCAGGAGTGTTAAGTGAGGGTATTTCATTATAATCTTTTTTCTTAAATGGGGCATCATTACTTCTGTTTATCATTTTCCCTTTAAAGAAATTAATGCATCAACAGTAACATCAGAAACTTGTCAAAACCTCATTGTGTAGTGATGCATGTTTCCATGCTGAGGGCTAGTGGGTCGTGTTCCCACTTTTCGAAAGGCTAAAATGAACACTAAAGTAATGGCTTACTTGCAGAGTCAATGAAGATAATGACTGCATCATTATTGAGAAGTGGGTAGTAGATCCTCTTGACTCGTAGATGATGGCGCTCTAAGAATGTCCTGATCTGTTTCTCTGACACACAAGGCTGAATACCCGACAGTCTGATCCCATCCATTCTGCAGAGGGAAACAATGTGATGTAGTGAATAGTGAGTGAGTTTAGTTTAAAGCCGCTTTCAACAATATTCCAGCAATATCACAGCAGGGGACACCAGAAATGGGCTTCACACATTGTAGTAATATGGGAGATCGAAACCGGGTTGACAAGTGAACTCTTGAACCACTCCACTGACTGACTGAGTTTGGTTTTACGCCGCTTTTAGCAATATTCCAGCAACATCACGACGGGGACACCAGAAATGGGCTTCACACATTGTGCCCATGTGGGGATTGAACCCGGGTCTTCGGCGTGACGAGCCAACGCTTTAACCATTAGGCTACCCCACCGCCCCCACTCCACTGAGAAGAGACTAAAAGGCTAAAAGTCAGAGATACAGATAAGCTCCATATAGATCTGCTTAAATTACGCAAATATTTATGTGAAAACTCAATTCCTATTAAGTCTATTGCCTACAAGAATGCTTGAATTTTTGTAAATACTCAAGAAATGTTATCTTGTATGCGTACACACAAAAATGTCAAATCTTAGCTTGCATACCGGTGAATAGATAAAATAACTGAAGTATACTGAGAGGTTCTATTTCAGCACATGAACTTGCCAACTTGCAGTCTTTCTTATCATTTCTCATATTACTGATCAAATATAATAACAATGATTTTAAGGGGGGGTCACCATTTGTTCTGGGGAGCTAGAGGGGGTCAGCAAGTTTGTACACACTTTCAAGGCGGGGTCAGCAATTTTGTACATAAAAATATGTTTAAAATCATCCTTTGAAATCATTTGTACATGACATGCAGGGGGGTTCACTTATCTTGTACATAAATTTTAGGGGGGGGTCATTCACATTGTACATGCTTCTCCATAAAAATCATCATCACCATCCCTAGTCATAAATTATGAACGATCCCTAAGTTTGACGATTTGCGCCAACTGTGAAGTAATACAGTGCCATTCCTGGCTCAAGGAGTCAAATAATCGCTGTTTAAAAATAGAAATACATGTAAACATTTTCACATTGCCAATATCTTGACCTATCCACACAATTCCGAAACCAAATTGAAATAAAATGTTTCTCATATGAGAGGCCGAAGTTTCACCTTCATTGGTTCATGGTTTCTTAAATGTTTGAGGGGAAGATGTTTACAAAATTTGATGCACAATGGCCATTCAGGTCAAGCGTAAGGTCACTTGACTGTGAGTGCCTGAATCTTAGAGTGTGTTGTTGTTTTTTCAAATCTTGGATGGAACACAAACCTAGAAGTACTAGCATCTGTACTTTAGTGAGATAGTTTAATTCCAAAAATAACCTTTATTTCAATTGACAACTTTCTAAATGACATTGTGTATTCACAGACTATAACCTTTAGATCAAATCCAAAGTTATCATAAATTCCTAAATTGATCTTGTCTATAAATAGATATATCAGTGTTGCAAATATCAGCCTGTCACATTAACTGTCGGTGACATTCTAAGTTCACCAAGGACAGGTCAATGACCAGTTTTATCAAGTCATAATTTTTTCTAACAATCCTAATCCAAGATTGCATGGGAGTACTTAGCTCATAATAGCATAAAAAGATACTTCACCACTCTTCGATTCCAAACAAACTGGGCGGTGGGGTAGCCTAGTGGTTAAAGCGTTGGCTCGTCACGCCGAAGACCCGGGTTCGATTCCCCACATGGGCACAATGTGTTAAGCCCATTTCTGGTGTCCCCCGCCGTGATATTGCTGGAATATTGCTAAAAGCGGCGTAAAACTAAACTCAGTAAGTCAGTCCAAACAAACTGAGACTGACAACTTTTGACAAGTATCATCAAACACTGTGCTGTGTTCTTGGTTAACTATATTTCAATTCTGCAACCTAGAATATACCTACAGTATTCCAAAATATCAATTTCGCTTTCACTGGTTTCAGAAAACTGTCATTTGATTCAAAACAGTTCAGATCTATGCAATTAAGTGTACTGTTTAGTGTTTAGCATTCGAGTGATGTCATTTGATCTGGAATGCATGAAAATGTGATCTTAATCTGATCTGGAATGCATGAAAATGTGATCTTAATTACATCGAATCATGGGTAATGCGGTAAGTTTGAGAAACGAACGTCTTAGACAGGCTACACGTCCGGAATGCCTGTTGTAATATGCTTTCCTTGCAAAACGTATGTACTGTCATGGAAATACAGCGATGTAATTTACCTGAATAGGTGGAAGGCTAATCAAATTGTCAAACTGTGACGTCTATTTAGCATGTTTTGACCCGTCAGACATTTTCCACCATTTCAAAACTCAAAACCGAAACTACAATCACGAACAATGGTCGATCAAAACAAACCCCAGCGCCACGACAGGAGATTAGAGTTACCTGCCCTTAGACCATGAAACTCACCGTCTCACCTACGGTGAATTATTTGAAGCGTTGGGATACATAAAATCTCAACCGATTGATGACTTCAGAATGGGTCATCTCACACATGACAGTACCAATTGCTGAAGAAATACACAAAATAAATTGGCACATTTTACTGGTGAAATATGTACACAAACTGTGCTGATTGAAAACCGTTTCAAATTATACTCTCGGAAATTTATGGCATCGTCGTTTTCTAGCGTTACTTTCGTCACATCTGAAATACAGTGAGCTAACTTAACCAAATAAATGCTGAAGAATGATGACAATTTTTAAGGATGTACAACTTCTTTTATTCTGTGAAGGGCGACGTTTCGACATAGATTCTAATGTCGTTGTCAAGCAAGTGATGCTGTGAACCAAAACAAATAATGAATCATGTTTCCATGACAAACCGGGGCGGTGGGGTAGCCTAGTGGTTGAAGCGTTCGCTCGTCACGCTGAAGACCCGGGTTCAATTCCCCACATGGGTACAATGTGTGAAGCCCATTTCTGGTGTCCCCCGCCGTGATATTGCGGGAATATTGCTAAAAGCGGCGTAAAACCATACTCATTCACTCACCCCATGACCAACCTAACGAGCTTACTAACTCGTACAAACACTCAATTACTCCCCCTGATTGCTCGTCAGTCAGTTTATCTTGGTCCTCAAATACCCGTTACCAAAAACTTAGTAGGGACTACACACAGGTTTTAACAGCTGGTCTAAGTTTATTGTAAATCCTTTGGATTAATGAAATATGGGGAAAAAACTAACATACGCTAATACTACTTAAAGGATTTGCTTTTTCATGGAGCCGTTTTGACTTTCTAGCGTGGCCCTTTTGTTTATCTTTGTGGTTCTAGGGTTTCTGTCACTTCCGGATGTGTGGGGTGGTCCTGTTGTCAAAGAGTTTAGTTACCTGGATCCCTTCCACTAAGTCACGATAATCTTTATCAATGTTGAGTGAGACTGAGTTAGGTTTTACGCCGCTTTTAGCAATATTCCAGCAATATGATGGCGGGGCACACACATTGTACCCATGTGGGGAATCGAACCTAGGCGTGTCGAGCGAACGCTTTGACCACTAGGCTACTCAACCTCCCCATGTCTATGTTAAGCCCGGTAACTAAAGATAGACTGTTGAGGTGAGGGCTTTACAATCCGCTTAGAGCTGAGAACGACATACAGGCACAAACAAACACATACATCAATCTCAGACATACAGACCCAAGCACACACATATACACCCAATCAGACACACAGAGACGCTTTCATACACACTCTCAGACACAAACATATACACAACTGCAAGCACATACACACCGACATTCTGAGACGCACACACGTGCAGCCACACACAAACAGAGACAGTCTCAGACACACAAAGAGGGACACAGAGAGAGAGAGACACACACACAGAGAAACAAACACAGACACTCTCAGACGCACACACACACACAAACAGGGACAGTCTCAGACACACAAAGAGGGACACAGAGAGAGAGAGAGAGACACACACACACACACACACACACAAACACACAAACACACACACTCTCAGACACACACACACACACACACACACACACACACACACGCAGCCACACATAGATACGACCGTAAGCACACCCACCCGCATACACACCACCACGGGGGTATTATCATTTGAGTATTAAGAGCATCTCCCGACCTTTCTTTAAAAAATCTCCTAATCAGTGCAATATAATAAATTCAGTATGAACCCAAAATAGAACACATATAACTGTGACAAACATAATAACATCAAACAGTAGCACGAATCGTCCAAAGTGCATAGTCATAAGCTAACACGGACAGGGCACGTTAACAACATTCGTCTGCTGAACATACAAAGGTCATCACGCCTTCCTACCCCCCAGCACAAGGTTTCTCGTGTACCACGTGGTTACCAGGCCGAATACCTTTATTTATTGTGATGACGTCACAACGTTATTTACACCTGCCCTTCTCTGATTACCCGGATGTGTTTACATGCCCCACAGTAAACAACCCGACTTGCTTGCCGTTGGATTTCATTCACCCAACTGTCTGGTGGACTGCATTGTCATTCCGACGTTGCTGAGGTTTAAACAGATGTGGGCGAGAGACGTCAATGGTGTGACTTACAAACACGTATTTCATTTTTTCCCTTTGTTTGTAAACGTCAAACATTTTTGCCAACATTTACTTTAACTCGCAAATATTTTCGTCGGCTCTGTTGAGAAAGGGGCGGTGGGGTAGCCTAGTGGTTATACCACCCGCTCGTCACGCCGAAGACCCGGGTTCGATTCCCCACATGGGTACAATGTGTGAAGCCCATTTCTGGTGTCCCCGACGTGATATTGCTGGGATATTGCTAAAAGTGGCGTAAAACCATACTTACTCACTTGCGTAACATGTTTCTCCTTAAAAGGATGTGTCATTGGCACTAAGACGTATGTACACATCGGACTTCCTTGTTGTACTGTCATTTGTACATATAATGTACAACGTCTTCAGGACCGCCTCCGTGGTGTAGTGGTTAGAGCGTCCGCCCGGAGAGCGGAAGGTCGCGGGTTCGATCCCCGACCGCGTCTTATCAAAAGACGTTAAAATATGGTACTTGTTGGTCCCGGCCTGGCGCTCGGCATTAATGGGTACAGCAAGGACTGGTCGGCTCGGAGTCGGCTCGGCTCGGAGTCAGTATAATGTGTCTGAGTGGGGTATTCATGCTTCTCTGCGGCATGGTATCTCAGTGGGCTAGCACTATAAAACCAGCTTAAGTCTGGGCTAGTGCAAGCAGCCGCATATATACATACACACGCATGCACGTCGTCATATGAGCGAAATATTCTCAAGCACGACTTAAAACCCAATTTCACCTCACCTCACAACGTCTTCAGAAAGGATTAGGAGCTGTCGCGTTAGGGAATAATGTCAACTGTAAAGGGGAAATTTATGTCGACTTCTGTAATATGAGGGACATGGCATTTGGGAGTGTATTGTTGGTGAAGGAGCAAGAACATACGTTGTGATCCTCATGTTACAGATGCTGACATCCATAAAGTCGCCTTTGTGTGGATCACTACTGCATGCCATTCAGAGACTTTAATGTTAACTGTGTCAACGCTGTTTTACTATGTTACAGATTGTTTGGAATAAGCTGACTGACTGAGTTTAGTTTTATGCCGAATTTTTAGCAATATTCCAGCAATATCAAGGCAGGGGACACCAGAAATGGGCTTCACACATTGTACCCATGTGGGTAATTGAACCCGGGTCTTCGGCGTGACGAGCGAACGCTTTAACCACTAGGCTACCCCACCGCCCCTTGGTATAAGCTTTCATATAGTGAAGGATAAGAAGATTTGGCTGGAAAATGTATCATATATGGCGTCCTTAGTTTTAGTCCAAAATAAATTTAGAGCTCCCGCGTTGGTTAATATCTGAACTAGTTTCCGTAACTTAACAGAGTGTTTGAAAACAGGTGATGTAAGACATTAAAGGATACACGGGCTTAACTTAGATGATACATTTGGTATATGAAGTCCTCATTTTCGGTATAAAAATCAATTAAGTTTATATAATTTTTCAAGTTGTTTAGATCGATAATGTGATATGAAATATTAAAATGTGTTAATAGTACACTCACTCACTCACACAACCACTCACTCAACCACTCCAACCACACATCCCGTGAAGGTCCGGGTTAGAATTGATCTACAGTAACCCATGCTTGCCGTAAGAGGCGACTAACGGGATTGGATCGTCAGGCTCGCTGACTTGGTTGACACATGTCTTGGTATCCCAGTTGCGTAGATCGATGCTCATGCTGTTGATCACTGGGTTGTCTTGTACAGACTCGGTTATTTACAGGCCGCCGCCATATAGCTGGGATATTGCTGAGTGCGGCGTAAAACTAAACTAACTCACTCAGCATGATTCTATATCCAAACTATATTTATGGTGTGTGTTAATCGGACTTTACACCAACCCAGTGCTCTTACAAGATCTTGATCACCAAAACTTATAATATTATACCTATATTGGGAATTGAACCCGCCCTTCGGCATGCTAACTAACTGTTCTTATCCGTAAGTTGTCAACCTTTATCTATCAAGCATTGCCTCTAAGAAATAAACATAATAATTCATAGAATGTATGTACTCATATTGTTATTTGTTACGATATGGTATGATGTGGTGCGATATGATATGATATGATATGATACATGGTATGATATGACATGATGTAATATGGGGTGTTATGATATGATGTGATACGACAAAGTATGTGTAATGCGATGTTATATGATGTGATACATTTTGATGCGATATGACATATTGTGATTTGACTATTTTTATTCTTTTCTATGATATTGTGTACTATGTTCTTGTATACTATGGACCCGTGGCCTTCAGTATGAATAAAGATTGAGATTGAGACTAACTGTTCCAGGTATATGGCGGCGGTGTGTAAATACTCGAGTCTGGACCTGACAATCCAGTGATCAACAACAAGAGCATCGATCTACGCAACTGGGATACCAAGACATGTGTCAACCAAGTCAGCGAGCCTGATCACCCGATCCCGTTAGTCGCCTCTTACGACAAGCATGTGTTACTGAAGATCAATTCTAACCCGGATCTTCACGGGTCTGCTGACAAGCAGTCTTAACTTGAATGGAAGACAATTGTTCTGTGAAAGCTTCCTTTTATACATTTGACAGTTCTTTTCAGACAAAATCGACAATGTGGCGATACATTGCAGGTATTTCTTCCCTGTTAATGCATAGGAGATTTATGGGTTTTTTTTTATAAAGGGTAAGAGGGAAGGTGTAGTGTGTTGAATCGTGGGTGTTGTGTTGTGTATTGTGTCTGAAGCTGGAGGTTCAACCCTCCCTTGCGTTCAGGAATAAAACCTCACCCACTCACTCACTCACTC